CAGCATCTATTCCCAAGGAGCCAAATCTAAGACACTGGGTCACGGCTCTGTTAAGAACGGAGAGGCAGGATGACACCCACTGACCACGATCTGAGACACCTAGTCCTCATACCGTAAGACCTGGTTTCGGACCTCAGCTCCCTGGGGTCCAGGTGGCGACAACTAGCAAACTACTCAGTGGTGAGCTGAGGAAGTGAAATCCAAATCTCTTCTGTACAAAATGATTCTAGAAAAAACACTTCAAAAAGATAAAAGAAATATAAGACTAAGAAAGATGTTAAATGAAAGCAGACACTCATAACATGATTTCACTGCAGATAAATTTTATAAATAGTCTTATTCAAAATGTTTTCTAAAATGCAAAAAAGAGGCTGGGCTTGGTGGTTCAGCCTGCAATCCCAGCACTCTGGGAGGCTGAGGTGAGTGGATTGCCTGAGCCCGTGGATTTGAGATCAGCCTGGGCAACTTGGCAAGACCTCGTCTCTACAATAAAAAATCAAAAATTAGTCAGGCATGGTAGTGCGTGCCTGTTGTTCCAGTTATTTGAAAGGTTGAGGCGGAAGGATCGCCAGAGCCCAGCAGTTTGACACTGGGGTGCTGTAAGCCACTGCATTCCAGCATGGGTAACTGAGAGAGAGAGACACCAATTCAAAAAAAAAAGAAAAAAATGAATAAAAGTTACCAAGCTCATTTTGGGAGGTTAAAACTGGAGGACAGAGTAAAGGAGAAAATTATGGGCCAATCTACAAACACATGTGCAAAAATTCTCTAAACAACTGACTTTATGAGGTTCCTTTTCACTAATAAAGCGTAAGGCAACAAAAAAATATGCACATTGTGAAGTTTTACAGGGAAAAAATAATGAATGACTTGAAGAAACACAAAATTAAGAATTACATCTGAATCCTAGCAATGTTTCTTTGGAAAGAATAAGACAAAAGCTCAGGTTATCAAAATAAAAATAATAGGGAAAAAAGTACAAAATTAGAAACAACATACAACTACCAAAAAAAGAGGAAGAGAGAATTCCATGTATATCATATCTTAGTATGTTTATAAATCTGAAATTCTCCATTACATGGCCAATTTTTAGGAAAAAAAGCTGTCAAAATTGGTTCAGCAAATGAATTAAAAAGTTAAATGATCACTAAGTTCAAGAGATCACCAAGAAACTAAAAATGCTATCAAATGATTACTCCTTCAAAAAGTTCAGAACCTAGAAGATTTTATCATCAATCTATATGAACTTTCAAGATCGGGTAGCTCCATAAATAGACACATATTCCACTATAGTACTACTAACAATAGCGAATACTTCAGGCCCTGATGCATTAATCCTCATGATAATCCCGTGGTATGAGTACTATTACTATGTCAATTTCACACTTGGTATGGGTACAATTACTACAATTTCACACATCCTCACAATAATCCATAATCCTGTGGTATGGGCACTATTACCATGTCAATTTCACGTAGTATGCAAGTTATTATGTCAATCTCACTCTATTACTACGTCAATGCTCTAAACAAGTTACAAGGTGCAAACAGGTTAGCCAACCTGAGTCAGTCACACAACTGGGAGTTAAGAATTACATCTGAATCCTAGCAATGTTTCTTTGGAAAGAATAATAAGACAAAAGCTCAGGTTATCAAAATAAAAATAATAGGGAAAAAAGTACAAAATTAGAAACAACATACAACTACCAAAAAAAGAGGAAGAGAGAATTCCATGTATATCATATCTTAGTATGTTTATAAATCTGAAATTCTCCATTACATGGCCAATTTTTAGGAAAAAAAGCTGTCAAAATTGGTTCAGCAAATGAATTAAAAAGTTAAATGATCACTAAGTTCAAGAGATCACCAAGAAACTAAAAATGCTATCAAATGATTACTCCTTCAAAAAGTTCAGAACCTAGAAGATTTTATCATCAATCTATATGAACTTTCAAGATCGGGTAGCTCCATAAATAGACACATATTCCACTATAGTACTACTAACAATAGCGAATACTTCAGGCCCTGATGCATTAATCCTCATGATAATCCCGTGGTATGAGTACTATTACTATGTCAATTTCACACTTGGTATGGGTACAATTACTACAATTTCACACATCCTCACAATAATCCATAATCCTGTGGTATGGGCACTATTACCATGTCAATTTCACGTAGTATGCAAGTTATTATGTCAATCTCACTCTATTACTACGTCAATGCTCTAAACAAGTTACAAGGTGCAAACAGGTTAGCCAACCTGAGTCAGTCACACAACTGGGAGTTAAGAATTACATCTGAATCCTAGCAATGTTTCTTTGGAAAGAATAATAAGACAAAAGCTCAGGTTATCAAAATAAAAATAATAGGGAAAAAAGTACAAAATTAGAAACAACATACAACTACCAAAAAAAGAGGAAGAGAGAATTCCATGTGTTGGGCAAAGAGGCTACCTTTGGCTTTGGACAGTTTCTGGAGGTGGAGCGGAGACCTGAATGCTGTGCTCTTAGCCTCTCCGATAAACACCACTGCTCACAAAGAAAGGCGGAAGCCTCAGTCTAAGAATGCAACATAGCCCTGATAACAAAACCCTCATAAATTAAATATATGTCTTCCTTTTTAAATGATCAGAAACATTTTAAACAATCAAATACTGCAGAGCACTTTCTACGTGCTGGGCAATGTTCTAAACAAGTTACAAATGTTACTGCACTTAATCCTCATTACAATTTTAAGAGAGAGCTATACCAACTTCATCCCTCTGGACAAAGAAACAAAAGCACCAAGAGGTGTTCAACATCATGTCCAAGATCACACAGTTAGCAGGTGGCAGAGCAGGGATTCAAACCCTGGTCATCTGTAGGGTCTGAACATGGCGCTTCATTAAACATCGTAAACATATTGAAGGCAGCAGTGACTCTAACTTTTCAATTAATCATAAATTACTGCTTTATGAAAATCAAAGGTGAAAATCAAAGCATCACTTATGGAATAAGTCACTGCAGGCAAACAGTCATTAGGTGCCATTCTCAACAAACAATCTAAACAAAACTATACACATGACAAGCAAAGTCTCCAGGGGCAGTCATGAAGACCATAATCAAGAGATTCCAGAAGCAAAACCTCTATTTCTCAACCAACTCATCTTCAACAAAGCCCCCACCACCCACCACTGGGGACAGGAGAACCTATTCAGTAAACGGTGCTGGGAAAACTGGCTGACTACATGCAGAAGATTAAAACAATACCCCTACCTGTCACCATACACAAAAGGCAACTCTAAATGGATCAAAGACCTAAACACAACACCCCAAACTATAAGAACCTTAGAAAATGCAGGAGATACCCTTATGGAAATTGAAAATGGCAAACAATTCCTGATCAAAACCCCAAATGTCCATGCCAGAAGAGATAAGATAGACAAGTGGGACCTCATCAAACTGGCAAGCTTCTGCAAAGGCAAAGAAACCATCGAGAGAGCAGGGAGACAGCCCACAGAATGGGAAAAAATATTTGCTAACTGTATATCTGACAAAGGCCTAACACCTAGAATCTACAAGGAACTCAAATGTGCCAAAAAACAAACAAACAAACAAACAGCCCCATTACAAAATGGGCAAAAGATAGAAATAGACATTTCTCAAAAGAAGACATGAGAGCAGCCAACAGATACATGAAAAAATGTTCAACCTCACCAGTCACCAGAGAAATGCAAATTAAAACCACACTGAGATACCACCTAACTCCAGTCAGAATGGCCATCATCATTAACTAAAAAAACAGATGCTGGAGAGGATGTGGCAAAAGGGAACACTTCTACACTGTTGGTGGGGCTGTACTAACAGCCTCTGTGGAAAACACTGTGGTGATTCCTAAAAGATCTAAAAATCGACCTTCCATATGACCCTGCAATCCCCCTAGAATATACCAGGAAGAACTCATACCACTCTACAAAAAAGATACCTGCACATGTTTATCTATCACAGCATTGTTCACAGTAGCAAGAACATGGAACCAACCGTGCTGCCCATCAAATAGGACTGGATAAAAAAAATGTGGTACATATACACGATGGAATATTACGCAGCCATAAAGAAGAACAAAATCATGAACTTCACAGCAACCTGGATGGACTTAGAGTCTATAATACTGAGTAGTCTATCACAGAAACAAAGAACTGAGTATCACATGTTCTCATTCATAAGTGGATCTTGAACAATTATTGTAATACTAAAAGAAAAAAATTGACAGTAGTGGGAATCTGCCTGGGGGAGGATGGCAAACCTTGTCAACAAGGATACCTGCATAATGAACATTTGTATACCTAACCCTGAATTGTACCCCACATCTTTAAAATAAAAAATAAAATCATAATCAAACTTATTTACATTTCATTGTAAAAACTAAGCAATAATTACATAATTATATGTGAATTATAAACACAGCCTATACTATGAAACACAGCCTATACTATGACTAACATGACTAACAGTCGTTATGTCTTCATTGCTTAATTAAACCACTGCAATGTCTTTTTTAACAAAGACGTTAGGACAAATTACTTTCTCCCACATAACTTAAAACTTTTGTTGAAGTAATCTTCTTTTCATTGTGGTATTGGATTAAGACCCTATTCTATTTAGATTTCAAAATATATTCTGAATTGCATTTTAAACATATGAAGCAAATAACACCAACAATGCTAAAAAAAAAAAAAAAACGTATGACAAGGTCCAAAAGAGATGTCTTAACAAACTTTGCATATAATAGTGTACTGCTATATGAAAGACACTGTCAATATAGACCACAAATGAATCCACAGTATTATGAATTGCTTACTACACTGACCCTGAACAAAGACTCTTATTGTCTACGGAAAGAATAAACCAACCAAATGAAGTTTATCTTTACATAAGAGTGACTGTTATATTACAGTTAAGTCTTTGATTGTTGAATATTAATAATCTCCATCAGTAATATGAGAATATCATGGCTACCTCTGGCTTCGTGGGATGTCCTCATTTCACTTTCTGTTCTATCTTCAAAGTCTTCTTTGACATCATCAACATGCTGGTCTCTGGGGGAAAAAAATAGGTGTTTCAATATTTTATGAGAGAACCATTTTTGAAAAGAGTGCAGGACTGCATCTCAATAACTGTTTTTCTTCATTTATACCACTAAAATGTTAGAAAGGAAAAGCAGTCTTGCTACAAAGCAATTAATACTAATACCATCTATAAAATGCTCATTTTCCTTATTAGCAATTTTCATTTACTATTCAAAAACATGATTTGAAAGCTAAGAATGAAGTTAAGATGAACTACTCTGGAAAATGAATAATTCAACTACAATTTGGGACACGTGTTCATGAGGAATTTTACTTGCACTGTTTGGTAAGACTTCTATTTAAGGAAAATGTTTTGAAAGCCCGCACCATTTAAATTAAATCACTATATACTACACAGCACTAGGATTTGGGGTTGAAGCTAAGACTGGCTCAAGAGAATCAATCCCAAATTCTAGGAAGCTTTCCCAGGCTAAATCGGGTCAAATCCACAGGCTGAAATGATTCCACCTCTTTCTGGCCAGGAATGACCTAATGTCAACTACACGTTAGAGATACTCTAATAGGGAATGGACCCATTACAACCTTAATTCAGAGCTCTATCCCCCAAATCAGGGACAAAAAAAATGGCTCTATTTTTAAAAAAGGGATCAGGTACAGGCTACTTAAACTCTTCTTAAAGCAAAATTTCAGGGTTTTTAAAATAGTCAACCTAACGCATTCTATTTTCAGTGTTCAAAATAAATCCTGTTTTGCATTTTGCAATTTTCTCCATCTACAATATGATATCTGGCCTAGATATATTAGTGCTTTATAATATTCTGTATTTATGATGCTCTATTGTTTTATATGTATTGTTACACTTACAAATATGCCAGAGTTTCTTAAAGAATCAGACCACACTTACACTGTTAAGTTTTAATAACAGGGCAAATATTTGAAGCAAAATATCCTAAACAAAATATAAAAAGAGCTCTATAGCATTAATTCAAAGACACTAATTTATTCTCCATTTGAAATTATCATGACAAAAGACAATGACATGCATATGCATGAACAGAAAGCATGCAGTCAATAAATGTTTACTCTTTTTTTGAGAGAGATCATTTTGAAGGGCAAATGTGAAATTTAATTTGAATCGGAGCTCCCTGGCATAGTTCATGCTAGAATCAACTCGTCACAACTGCTGAAGAATACCTGCTTATTTGAGAATGGGAAAGAATCACTTGCTATGCAATTAGAAAAATATGTATCTGGAGAACCCAATTAAATGGCTACAGGGACTGTGATTCCACAAAAAGTGGGGCATGGAGCAATGGTGAAAAGAAATATAATGCCACTGATAACAGAGTTTTTGTAAAACACTAGTTGAGATATTGATAAAAATCGTCGTCTCTGTAAAAACAGAAATTATACTGAAAAACAAAGAAGTTATACTGTAAAAACAGCTGTAGTTCCACTAAGTAATTGCAACATGCTAAAATCAGCTAACCGTGTTAAAAATAACTTCTGTGAACTTCCTAACTTGTTTTATATTAAACTGGAAATAATACTGAGTCCATAAATTCTATCCCAGTAAGTACTGTGGCCAATGGATAAAGTAGTTTGTGGGTAGCTATAGTAGCATTTATTGTTAATAGAATCATATACTACAGTGATATAAATTTAAATAGAAATTTCTCAAAGAAAATTAACTTCCCAATTAGTTACTGTGACTCTTCTAGGAACTTTGATGAGTGATTGTTTTTTTTTTTTTTAAAGACAGAGAGAGACAAAGTGAGACTAAAAGCTAAAATTAAGGCATAAAATTTTCTGCATATTTCAGTTTTTTACAATCAGTGTTATCCACTGATTATCAGCAGTTACCCTTCTGTGGTTTTAATAAAGTATACTATTGCATAAAGTTAGCTTTGTTAAAATAAAGGCTTAAGACTTAAGCATGAGAAAAGTTCCTTTATATTCTTATGCCTAAATACAACATCCATGACTTACTTCTTAAAATGCAAGAAAAAGTCCACTTTCTAAGAGAAACAGAGATAGAGAAGAAAAATAAAATCTGAGACCCAAAAAGTTTCTTCATGGCCAGACCTGCCATAAACTGTCCCCTAAGAAAAGCAAAATGGAAGCTATGTACCCTTACATTATTTATGTTACTTCGTTATATCAGCATGTTCAAGTTTTCATGGTCCCAATTTTAGTTGACGACATTTCATTAACTTGTACCCATACAAACCTGGGGATATATAAACATGGATGTTTATTTTTACCAACCATGAAGAACGCCACAAGAAATGTTTATTGAATGTTTCACTTGAGATTAATGTATTGATTCTGCAAATTCCTTAAAATTAAAAGCGACTAAGTCCCTCATGGTTCTATGTGCTGCTTCTTTTAGCTAGAGAGCGGGAAGGAGGAAGAAGGGGTCAGTGTGCATGGTCATTCAGAACAGGCAATATGAAACAGAAAGGTGAACAGAACCGCTGGAGCAAGTAGAATCCCAAACCAGCACAGCCAGACCCGTGGAAGAAGTTAAGATTAAAAAGAGAAGTTAGCATTATTAAGAGTATTCGATGAGCCCAAGACTGGCTGAGTTCTTTACACGTTCAATGCTTCATAACACTCCTTGGAGGGAGGTTCTATTATTATCCACAAAATGTAAACAAGTTGAATCCCAAATTTACAGGACAAGTATAGCACCAGGTTTTCCTGACACCAAAGTCCACAACTGGATTCAATTACTCTTTGATTATTGCACTTGCATTTTCCAAAATAAACTATTGTATCCTTGTTATAGAAAGTTGAAGGGAACGTGCCTTCTTGTGCCACAATCTTATTTTCAAACTGTCATTGATAAGGTCAGGAATAATGATTCTGACCCATATTCTCGCTTGTTTTGTATTTTATTTATAATAAAAATGGTTTGCTCAAATAGGCAACCATTATTTCTCTCTTTGATGAAGCTAAGAATTTCATTATGCTAATTCTGGTTAAATAAGTAGTGAGATGATTTTCTTTCTCTCTGCAAAAATGAAATCCTTGTTCTAGAATTTCAACTTCCCAAGTAAAAAGTTATTCTAGCTACAAAGCCTTTCAATTACAGATAAAATATGATTACAGCAGACTGTCAAAACTCTGGGATAAAGTTATAATATACTCTAGAGCATAATACAAGATGTGCCTCTTGACAGATTTTTTTTTAAATGACAACCATAAATATTTTTATATTTTAATATTACAACATTACTCAACACAAAAACTTCTTGGCCTGCTTTCCTTGATCAACATTTTCCATAATCAACAATTTGGAGCCAGGCATGGTGGCTAATGTCATTAATCCCAGCACTTTGGGAGGCCTAGGTGAAAGGAGCACTTTCACTATGTTGCCTAGGCTGGTCTCTGGCCTCTAGAATTTCAACTTCCTAAGTAAAAAGTGATTCTAGAGGCCAGAGACCAGCCCAGGCAACATAGTGAAACTCTACCTCTAAAATAAACCACATCAACACCAATTACCTCGAAAGGGAATACAGTTGTTTTAGGTGCCGATATGTGAATCTTGACACAGAGAAAACAGTCCAGTAGTAGTGGTCGCACACATGATCTTTGGAAGTGAACAGACTTGGTTTAAAAATTGTTTTCTCAAATAGGCAGCCATTATTTCTCTCTTTTATGAAGCTAAGAATTTCATCATGCCAATTCTGGTTAAATAAGTAGTGTGATGATTTTCTTTCTCTCTGCAAAAATGAAATCCTTATTCTAGAATTTCAACTTCCTAGGTAAAAAGTTATTCTAGTTATTCTAAGTCCAGCTCTGTGACAAAAATACTCAATCCTGTATGGAAAACGCTTCGCAGAGAGCCCAGGCATTCAAGTGGGAGCAAGAAGCATAGCAACTATTCCTATTTATGAATTCCTTATATTTTACAATGAAAGTATCTACTGATTCCTGTTTTAAGTAACCTACTTCCTACAACTACGACAACAGCTTTTGGAGTCATGGTTCCAAGCACAGGCTACAGCTGAACTGTGTGGTTTAAAGCCCTGCTCTGAACTGACTAGCCGTGTGGCCTCTGATCCATGGAGGGGCCAGACTTGCAGAAATCAGGCTTCAAGGACAGCAGCTACACAACGTAAGGTGCTATGAGTTTCAGATGAGCTAACGTAGGCAAAAAAGCATGTAGAAAAGTGCCTGGAATGTGGCAATTTCTCCTGGGATTTTAGAATTTAGAAGAACCAATTTATTTCAACATTTCTTTGGCTTGAACTAAAATACAATCATAGTGGAAGCTTACTCAAGAATACTCTTTTGGCGCTTCATTAAGACAGAGGAATCCACTTGAATGGAAAAATGCATGCCTTCTGAGTCAGCATTCTCTTTTTCTCTGTAATTATGAGTCACGTTTTAGATGTCTTACTATCTTACTCTAATTATGCCGGGTGGTAAATATTAGGGAAACGAACCCTAGAAGAATAAATAAATACACAGTAACAGGATGGAAACTGAATGCGTGCAACTGTATTTCTTCACATTTACTTTTATACTAAAACAACCCTAGTTTATGTTTCAACCAGTCCTAGTCTGTTAAGAACAATACTGAATGAATTCATTACTTTGCCTCAATTCAGGGATTTACTGACGCCAGCCACCTCTCTCCATCCAGCATGAGAAAAGGCAATGCAGGTAGAAACAATCACATTAGGAGATTGCCTTGTCATTGGACTGACCATGACCGCTGGCCCAGCATCAGAGACACAGCCGTCTTATCACAGTTCAAGTGCCAAAGTTCACTTCTTAGTTTGGCTTTGTTTAAAATAACCCCACCCTTCTCTTTCCAAAATAGCTTATTATAGTCTCCTAGGGACCTTGTTAGAACAGAAAAGGACTTGTCCTCCAAGTAACAAGAGGGGACATGGTGAATACCAGGGGGAGCTATAAAAAAATGAAGTTTTCCTGTTTTGGCCATCAAGAGTGTCTCTCTGCATGCCCCAGCATTTTTTTTTTTTTTTAGATTTCTGGGCTGT